CTTCAACTTTCTTCCAATTGAAATGTAAGGTAACCTAAACAATAAGTCACAACACAACCGAATCATGCTCTTTGGCATCTTTTTTTTCTTTTTCTTTCCCATCTTATGCTTTTACCTCATACAGATTTTTCAGTTGAACCCCTGAACTGTTGAAATACAGACCTGCTTTCGAACTCCAGATGAGTAAAATACTACAATAGTAAAATGCTACAATTCTGAATTGCCTAGGGCCGGTCAGTTCAACGAGATGATTTCTCAACGCTATCGCCCATTTCAAAAAAAAGAAAAAAACAAAACAACAAGGTTGGGAATAGAGATGGTAACACAAACATCGAAATAAGGGCCTCGAGCCAAATGTGCAAAACTAGAGTGAATCTTCCGCTAGAACAAGGAAAGATGCATCGCCATGATTTTTGTCTTTTGTGCATTTCCGGAGTAGTGGAGCGACGCCCTAAGTCACCCACCAAAGTCTCTGCCAACATGTGTGTCCAAAAGCAAGGAGTTTCGCCCAATGGGGTAAACCCGTTTTGGGAGGAATGGACGAGAGACGTTCCGGCGGACAGCCTGTTGACGCACGTAACAACGGCGGTGCAAGATCTGCGAAGTAAATTGAATAAGCAATTGAGGGGCAGCTATCTGGCCACCGAAGGACGGGCGAGGAGTATGCTGGCAAATTGTAGGAGTTGAACTCCGGTCGTGGGGAAGGCCAGTCGGACGACGAATGGTGGGCAGAAAGGGTGGAGGCTGCAAGGGGGTGGAGGGAGTGGCAGGAGGAGGAGGCAATTAGGTGGGGGAGGCGCACCAAGGAACTGTTGATTGTAGTGGGGGAACGTACGACGCAACAATTCTTTGCTGCGCTAAAAAAAAAAAAGGGGGCCCCACTGATGACGGTAATGGACCACCCTTTTGACGACCAGCGGGAGAGGCAGCACTCCACAAGGGGAGTTTTGAAGTACGTCACAGAGTTCTACTGACTGACAGCTGCTCATGGAAGAGGAGGCATGGATGTCTGCAGCATATCCAGAGACTCAGCCTTGACAGCACATGCAGGATGGAAGCAGATGTGACAACGGAGGAGGTGGAAAGGTCGATCACTGCCCTGCCGCGATTGAAAACACCAGGTTTGGACGGGATCCCGGTGGGAACTATTCAAGGATTTTCGTAACTTCTTTGTTACCTTGCTCGCAGCGGCCCGTAACAAAGTACTCAGAGTCGAAACATTCCCGCCGGGATTCGCAGACGGCTATGTGGTCTTGCTCTACAAGGAGGGGCCGAAGGAGGATGTGCGGAACTGGCAGCTAATATCCATTTTGAGCGCAGTATATAAGATATTGGCTCAAGTATTGGCAAACCGCCTTAGCGACGCCCTACCGCACATCATCGATCACACACAGACGGGCTTCGTGGCAGGGCGCCGAATTCTCACAAACATCCTGATGGCCCAACAGGTGCTAGAGGAGGACCAGTGCACAGGGCGAGCGAGAGCATTTATATCCATAGAATTGGAGAATGCGTACGACCAAGTACGCTGGGAGTTCATGATGCAAAGCATGGCGCGTCGGGGTGTAGGTAGAATCTTCTGCAGTTGGGTCCGCAGTCTGCTCAGGGGAGCAAATACTGTCATGCAGGTGAACGGAGTAAGATCGGACAGTTTGAGGGTCACGAGGTCAGTTCGGCAGGGCTGCCCACTGTCCCCCGCCCTCTATGTCATCTATATTGAATCGTTGCATGAAATACTAAGAGCGGATGATAGGCTAGAGCGACTGAAGACACGATCAAAGACGCTGCAGACGACGGCCTTCGCAGATGATACAGGTGCAGTCATTATGCTGACGGTTCAACAGCTGGGACTGCTTAAAGAGGATCTGCATGTGTATTCTGCAAGTACTCTGGGGCACAAGTCAACTGGCAGAAATCTAAAGCAGTGATGCCCCCGCGGCCCCCCGGGGGTGGACCCACCGGAGGGATGGGACATCCCGACAGTCGAGAATGGGGAAAGAATGGCCTTCTTAGGAGCAAACCTGACCCCAAGCTACCGGGGGGTGGAACAGATGGCGATAAGTGCAGTCGCAGCGGTGGCTAGGCTCTGGGACTGGAGTGCAAAAGGTAGCATGGGGGTGTTCGATAAGGCCCTGGTAGTGAAAAACGCGGGTGTTGGCAACACTGTGGTAGGCGGGGGGCAGTGCACATGCCAGGTAAACGAACCTTCCGGTATATCAAACATGCGATTCATGCCCACTTATGGTCTAACAATCCGGCTGCTGAAGATTCAATTTGCAGAGTAGCATGGGACAAGCTGATTCAGCCAAGACGGTTCGGGGCTTGGGAATGCTGGATCCGAGGTTCCAGATCATAGCCCTCCAAATTTGCCAATTAATATGGGTCCTGCTGGGGACGATGGGGGACACATGGCAAGAAGTTACATGAGCCCACTTGGCATATGCACTGCAGGTCCCGGAGGAGATGGCGGAAGTATGTCTGCTGCTGAGTAGCTCTCTGATAGGTCATATTCGTAGAGGCACTGTGTGGTCCACCAAATTGAGTTTGTGGAAAAAGGTGCAGCTGAGATGCCGGATACCAGCATCTGCGGGCGCAGTATTCAACCAGCTGCTGTTTCACAACACATTCATATGCAATGAAGAAGGCGACCCCTACCCATGGCAGGGTCGGAGGGGAGCATTGGGATAGAAGTGAGCAGAGCGGGAGGGTATTCGAAGCGGGACATTTATGGGACGAGGACCACAAAGACTGGCACACAGATAGCGAGATGATGACAATGCTTGCCCGGAAAGCATGGAGAATGAAATGGGTAAGAGAGCTGAGAGAGGCTATCCCCTCGCAATGGATAGATCTGCTAAAGAAGGACAAGGTGGCACAAGGAGAACGGGTGCGAATTAAAGGAGTCACCAGGCCAGACATGGTCTATAGAGTGGAACAGGCCCCCCTGGAAGAGTCGTTGGAAGTCACCGCGTGGTACGTTGAATCTGACTCGGGATATGAAGGGATGGGTAAACCCCTGAGGATGTCCCCGGCCACACAAAGACGAATATTGAGAAGCGGTGCGGAAGACTGTAGTGGTACGCGAGGGAGGGTCGAAGGAACAAGGCCACTTCTGGCCATATAGGGTGGCACAACAGCAGCGAGACTTAAGTTGGGACCCGCGGGACTGGGAGTGGCCCCCTCAGAGGATGCATAAGAGAACAACCCCGCTGCAGCAGCTGACGAACAAGAACATCTATAATCCCCGCTCGAGCCACGCGACATCTGCGGGGAACTCAAGAGTCGCTGGTCCAAGAGAGACTGGCTTCCAGACGTTTATTACGAAAGATGGACTCAGCGTAAGTGGAATGCTCTTATGGCGGCGCTGCCGGATCAGAAACAGGCTGGCTTGCTATGGAAATATCATCTGGCCATTTCGACAGCGCAATGGCTGGCTCTCAGAAGCTGCCATAAGGAGCAACAATGCGCGGCAGGATGTGAAGAGGTGGAGACCATACCCCACCTGTTCGTGCAATGCCCAGTAATCCGGGCCTTCTGGAAGTGGTGGGCGCAAATAGCAGAGCACACCCTGTAGGAAGCAGCAGAAACAGATGAGGCGCTCATTCTCCTGGGAACCCTGATGAAGGCCAATAGATTGCAGCTGGAGAATCAGCTGGCAATGGAAATTGTGAGAGCAGCACTGATATGGACAATCTGGACCCTGAGAAACAAGCGATGCAGACAGGGCACAGCCCCCACCCTGCAGGCATATCAGGGACAAGCAATGGAAAATATTTGAGTGGCCGTTCAGGCAGACTTCCGTCGGTGTGACCGAGCAGGAGAAAGAAAGGATCGCTTTTGGAAGCGATGGAACCCCTATCCACAGTTGCTGGTACCAGACCCCCAGTCGGGCCGAGTCCCGTTTGGGCCCTTGTTGCTGCGACGAACATGTCAAGCAGACCGATGTGTAATATAGAGGTTTGGAAGTTAGCGGGAATGGACGAGGATAGGATAGAATCAAGTTGTAGTGTAGGCACACAAAGAGAGGGATGAGGATAGGATACGAAGAAAGTAGGGGTGGGGGTACAAGTATGTAAGGGGAGGGGGAGAGGGTGGGAAGGGAGACAAAGCTGTAATGAAAAAGCTGGGGTGCTATACATAGACTGTAAGGAACCAAGGGCCCTCATGAGTATAAGGGGCATAGCCCAAGGTAGGGAATGGGCACATAATCCGAGGCCAAGCATGAGGCATATGATATACTGTAGTTTGTACTAGTAAAGTAGGCAATAGGCAAAGTATCTGGATGTCAAGCAAATGGCAAGGAAACAGTGAGATAGTATCATTGAGTAGAAGGTAGGGACAATGACTGGGGAACAGATATTCAGTTAGAATTTGGACATTGACCGGCTGGTGAGGCTGCCAGGCGGCTCTCCCCTGCGTCCCCCGCCATTTACACAATTTTACAGGATCCACATGCTGTGTGTCTGGGTGCTGCCAGTAAGCTTCCCGGCCAGCAAGTGCACCTTGCAAATGAGTCATGGTTCGGGGGGAGAACGGACAAAGCAACCCCTTCCTTGAGTAAGCGACTAGAGCGGCAAGGGTGGCTGTATCTGACTCTTATCTGATCTACTCTTTCTTTTCCTCTTCAACTGCTCCTCATGTACTTTTGGCTTGCCGGTGATGAGCAACCGGACTGATGCCCCCCCGAATAGATGGGGCTTTGTCTGGAAAAAAAAAAAAAAAAAAAAAAAAAAAAGCTGGTGAGTTGTAACACAAAAAAGAAGACCAAAAATAGAAAAGAAGAGGACAGAAACTGTTTTTTCCTTTACAGAAGAGATACAGATTGTTTTAGTTGATTCCGAAAAATTGCAAGAATACTCAATAAGACTGGGAGAATGGGTAAAATAAAAAAAATAAAAATAAAAAACGCACATGACAAACTACACGGTCAACAACAACAGTACATGTTTATGACTAGCAAACAGTCATACGATGGACTGTTGATGACACGTAAAGGCTTTACAGTGTTTTACACCTCTATTCCTTAAAAAAAGGATTTCTTAAAATAGGATTTCTTAAAAAAAAAAAAAAAAAAGGATGCTACTGGGTGGAATGCAGAGGGTTACAGAAAGTTAACACAACAGTAGGTTGCAGATGCTATCTGCAACACTATGCAGATGCTATCAACAATGCTATGCAGATGTTATCTGCAATGGTATGTAGATGCTATCTGCAACACTATGCAGATAGCATCTTCCATGCTATGCAGATGCTAGCTATATGTAACGCTATGCAGATGCTATCTGCAAAGCTATGTGGATGCTATCTGCAACACTATGAAGATAGCATCTGCAATGCTATGCAGATGCTATCTGCAATGCTATGCGGATGCTATCTGCAATGCTATGTGGATGTTATCTGCAATGCTATGCAGCATCTGATCTGCAACTCTTACGCAGACGCGATGCCGGCCCATGCACCCAATATAGCAAACGCTATTCCTGCCAGATAGGCCCAACGTACGACCTGGATCTCCGATAATCCTGAAAGTTCTAAATGGTGATGGAAGGGAGCCATACGCAGCAGTCGCCGCCCCTCGCCAAATAGCTTCTTTGTCGTCTTGAAATACAACACCTGATTAAAACAACAACAACAACAACAACAACAACAACAACACCTGAATTAGAAAAGCAATGAACGATTCACAATGCAATTTAGACCCCCAACAGCCACCATGACAACCAGCAAATCATTAACCTTTTTTTTTTTTTTTTTTTTAAGTCATTAACCTTATCCTCAGCCAAGATGAAAAGCAGTGCATCCATATGACACACCACAAATCCCTCTTTCAAAAAAAAAAAAGAATCATAGAAAGCAACGCATACAGAAGCACCTAGCCCTTGCGGCGGAATGGCACCGCACATGCAGCTGTCAGTAAAAACAGGACATGAGTTCGAGTCCCGATGATGGAATCAGCCGAGCACAAAGAAAGTTAGGCGGACCAGGAGAGAGCACAAGCATGGTGGTCAGCGACGATAATACGCCAGGAGAAATATTGTATTTAAAATTTTAAATAATTTAATAATTTACATTCCTTTCTAAACTTCCTTAAAAAAAAAGAGGACGGAAAAGAAAGGCTTACAGAGCGCCCAAAGAGCCGAATGCCACTTCAAACTCGCGCTAGAGGGGAGGGTATTTCACTGAAAGATTTGGGAGGTTTTGACCCCTTTGCGGAACGGGGTTGGGGGGGGGGGGGGGGCAAAAGGGAAAGGGGAGTGGAAAGGGGGAAAGGGTGGTGGGAGGGGGAAAGCGGGGAAGATGGAATCGAGTCCAGTGCAATTGCGTAATGCGCCCGTCTCACCCTTGGTGTATATTTCATTTTTACGGTTTTTTATCCCTCCTCCTCAACGGGCCAACGAGGAGAGGAGAGGAGGGGCAGCTGCTTGGAAGGAGTCACTGTGTAGCAGAGGAAAGACGGTGAGTTGGTGGGAGAATTGTGCACCAGAGGGAGGGAGGGGATGACCAGATGCACACTCTACCCCCTTTTTCACTGCACAGGGGTGAGTTGTTGCTCCTTGACTTCTCCCACGGGCACTCTACCCTCGTCTTCACTGCACAGGGTGGGGATGACGACACGCACACTCTACCCCCTTTTTCACAGAGGGAGTTGCAAACACAGGCACCCTACCCCCTTTTTCACTGCACAGGGTGAGTTGTTGCTCCTTGACTTCTTCTCCCACAGGCACTCTACCCTTGTCTTCACTGCACAGGGTGGGGATGACCACACACACACTCTACCCCATGTTTGGCAGAGGGAGTTGCAAACACGGGCACCCTAACCCCTTTTTAACTGCACAGGGTGAGTTGTTGCTCCTTCAATTCTCCTCCCACTGTGCAGTGAAGACAAGGGTCGTGTGCCCGTGTTTGCAAGGAGTAAGGGAGGGGAAAGTGCATGAGATGAGAGGAGCCAGAAGGGGTTGTGGGAGCAAGAGGCAGGGGGGGGGGRGGGGAGGGGGAGGTCTGCACCCCTCTCCCCTTTCCCATTTTCATGGCGACATTCAGTCAAGGGAAAGATGAGTGGTGATTGAAATGAGGAAGGGGGGAGGGGATGCACATATTTGTAGGAATTAAGGAGAGCATACAGGGTCTAATTGATTATGCACTGCTATGGTGCTACCCCATTTAATTTCCATTTCCCCTCTGATGCGTGAATAGACAAGCGGGAGGGGGAAAGAGAGTGCTGGATTGTGGTGGCTTCAGGGGCGGGAAAAGACATGGCCGAGGAGCTGAGAGGAGTGAAATAGCGAGGCGAGCAGGGTGGGAATACGAAGGGCATGGCTGTGCACACGTGGGCAGTACTGGGTACCCTTTTCGTTTCCATTTTTCTTCATTCTCCCTCCCTCCACCTCCCGCTCCCCCAAATGCCCCTTCTGCCTGCAACGTACCCCCCAGACCTCTAACTGCAGTCAACAGAAGGGGGCTGGGCATACATGGGAGGAGTGAAGGAGGAGGAGGAGGAGGAGGGCGGGCTAAATGGGAGTAGTTCAACGGTGGGAGGACGAGGTTGGGTGGGGGACAGTGTGACATCCAACAAACCCCCAACACCGCTAACAGCAGTCCAGAGAAGGGGGCTGGACATGCCTAAGAGGAGTGAAAGAGGAAGAGGGTGGGCTAAACGGGAGTATCTGTTTTTGTGCTATGACGATTTCTGTGAAATTACAAGAACCTACGCAAATTAATACAGTAATTATAATAAGACCAATAGATACTTCATAAGAAACCATTTGAGCAGCAGATCGTAGTGCTCCTCTAGTTAAGGGTGGGCGAACGAGGTCGGGTGGGGGGTGAGAGAAGGGAGGGGGGGGGGGGCTGAACACTCGCGTACTATCTTCGATTGTGAACTTCCATAACTCCCTTTTTAGGGGGTGAAAAGTTCCTTGATTAGTATATTTCCCACAACAAACAGTGGAAAAAAAAGTGATATCAGTCGTACGATTGACGGCATCAACGGACACGGACGGACATACCTGCACCACAACTGAGACTGACTCGATAAAGAAGACTCCTGAGCAGATAAACAGTGGATAGAACTGGCCCGTGCATCCTGCCATGGCTGCCAACGCCCCTCCAAGTGCCAGCGACCCCGTATCGCCCATGAAAACCCTGGCCTTGTGATGGTTATGTGCCAGAAACCCAACGCAAGCACCAGCCATTGCCACGCCAAACACTCCAAGTGCTGCAACAACAACAACAACAAAAAAAAAGAAGGAACACGGAAGGACACATGTCAAGGTGACGACGAATCCAGGCATTCTTTTTTCAGTGAAACGCAGAATGTACGTCATGTCTTTTCAGAAAAAAATACGCCCTCCCCTCTCCGCCCCCCCGCATCAAGAAAAGTTTAAAAGAAACATTTCCTTATGTATTGTATAAGGAATACTGAAACTGTTTTTCGGCAATAATCGAAAAGAAACATGGGTGTTTGTTAAAAAAAAAACAAAAAAAAAAACGTTTACACCCCCCCCCCTCTCCCCCTCCCGCTCCCCAGAAAGAAGGAAACAAAAGCAGGTTACAGAAGATCCTCACAAGATTGAATATTCACATTTGTTGAGCTTGCTCCGGAACCCAAAAGAGTAGAAGCGAGTCAAGAGTTTGAACCAGCCCTCTGTTCGCCACGCCAGGCATGCTTAACTGGGTGGAATCAGAGAAGTCTGTTGAAGTTTGAACTTGGAGACAGAACAAGAAACCTCAAAAACTTGAATAGAATAATCATTCATTCTGCGAGACGCTCTCGGACTCAAACGGGTGGGCAACGTCGCAGGATGCAGACTGATCTTCTGCTGGCCCCCAGGCTACCACGGGGACCCAGAGAGCCAACCCGGCAACCAGGAACAGCACCCAACACCGGGATCCACCAGCATAGTTTTGTAGTATGACAGGGTACCCAATCGGCCCCAGCCGTATGTCCGGGCCGCAGGCTCCCCATGGGTTGGGTCAGCAACCTCCCTGGGGTGTCCCTGGGAGGCCAGAGCCATGCTGGAACAGGCCAACCACTATGCGCCTCAGTAGGATTAGCCGATAGCGCTCCGACACGGGAAAAGCTACAGGATAGCAAAGGACACAAGATAGGGAAGCCGGACAGGGATACAGGATAGCAAAGAGGATAGCAAAGGAAATGGCATAGGGAAGCAGAACAGGGGGTGAGTTGGGACGTTGGACCCAGTTTCCGGCAAGGGAGTCAATAGAAAAGAGCGGGCCACAGGACAGCAGGGAAGTCAATAGAGCACAACATGGTACGGGACAAACGACTATACAATAGGGAGGGAGGTTTGAAGCCGAAGCCGGGTAATGGCCCCGATATCAATCAGTGTGTTGGACGCTGGGTGCGGTGTCCAGCTCGTGCAGCTCGCCACCAATAGACCGGAGCAACTGGTACCTGGCTCCCCTCAGATTGCTCTTAAATCCGGCTACCATCAGATTGCTATCAGACCGGAGGATCAGCACAAAACCGCATTTCAGACCAGGTACGGTCTGTACAAATTTGTGGTGATGACTTTTGGCCTTTCCAATGCGCCGGGTACATTCCAGCACGCCATGAGCAGCTAGCTTTCAAGCCCGGGCACCCGGGCCACCCCAGGTCGTCCGGAAGGGCGCTCGGGGCGCCCGGCCAGGCCCCCGGGCCCCCACAGCGCCGCCCCCCAAATCGCTTTGAAAAAAGAAAATTGGCGTTGCGGGTTGGAGGTCCAGAGGGGAAAAAAAAAATTGGCGGCCGCCCCAATGTTTTTAAGGATCCGGTAGGCCCCATTTCATAGTTTTTTTTTTTTCCGGACCTGGGCCGTCGATCTGCGTTGATCGATGGCGCGGAAGTCCCAAGATTTTAAATTCGAATCTTGGGGACTTACCATGCGGCCCTGCGCCCTCCGCCCCCATGCAAACACTCTTCTTTGGCCTCACACTCAGCTGGGATTGTTTCCCCGCCGTTATTGCGTGGTCATCCATGCCATCGTTATCTTCGCCCTGCCGAGCCATCGTCGTCATCACCCTGCTGCCCTCCGGCGCACCACCGTCGTTGCCGTCCAGCCGCGCCATCCTCCTTGCCCCTGATGAAGACTGCCTGCGCCGCCATCGCCAACTCAGGTCAGTTTTTTTCTTCTTCTTCTTGTTCTTTTTCTTCTACTTGTTCTTCTTCATCTCTACTACGTCTTTGTCTGTTCTTCTTCATTTTGTCCCATTCTTCTTCCTCTCCTTCTTCTCCTCCATTTCGTCGTGTTCTTTTCCTTCTTCGTTGTTTCTTCATTTCGTCGTGCTCTTTTCCTTCTTCGTTGTTTCTACGTCTTCTCTTCTTTTTTTCTTTGTCGTTTCTTCTTCTCTTTGTTCTTATTCTTCATCAGTTCTTTTCTTTCTTCTTCTCTTTCTTCTTCTCTTTCTTGTTGCCGCCTCTTCTTCTTCTTCTGCTGCTGCTGCTGCTACTCTCCACTTCTTCCTCCCTGTTTCTTCCTCCGCCATAGCGCTTCATCAACAAATCGTCATTTTTTTTTGGGGGGGAATGCTTGATTATGCTTCTGCTCCGTCTGCCATAGCCTCCCTCCTCCCTCCATAAACTCCCTCCCCCCTCCTCCTCCATCAGTCTCCCTTCCCCATCCTCCTCCCTCGTTAGACTCCCTCCCTCCATCAGTCTCCCTTCCCCCTCCTCCTCCCTCCGTAGGCTCGCTCCATAGGCTCCCCTCCCTTCTTCATCTTCTTCTTCCTCCTCTTCTTACTCTCTCCCTCTCTTCTTCTTCTTCTTCCCTTCTTCTTTGTCATCTTCTTCTTCCTCCTCTTTTTACTCTCTACAGTCCTTCTGGGACGCCATAGTCCTCTTTTTCTTCTTCTTTTTTCCTTCTTCTTCTCCTCTTCTTCTTCTTCCCTTCTTCTTCCTCCTCTTCTTACTCTCTACAGTCCTTCTGGGACGCCATAGTCCTCTTTTTCTTCTTCNTTCTTCTTCTCCTCTTCTTCTTCTTCCCTTCTTCTTCCTCCTCTTCTTACTCTCTACAGTCCTTCTGGGACGCCATAGTCCTCTTTTTCTTCTTCCTTTTTCCTTCTTCTTCATTAGAGTTCTGCCCCTACCTACTCCTACCTCCGGTAGAGTTCTGCTCCTACCTCCTCCTACCTTCGGTAGAGTTCTGCTCCTACCTCCTCGTACCTAAGCCATAGTCCCCCCTCCCCTTTCCTTCCACCCGCCATAGTCCTCCCTCCTCCCTCCCGCCATAGTCCTCCCTCCTTCCTCCCGCCATACTCCCCCCCCCCCCCCCCGCCCTCCAACACACAGAAATCAATATGCCCCCCAAAAAAATGAGGCCGGATTTGGGCAGTACTCCGCAAGTGCAGCAAATCCCCATTAAAAAAAAAAAAAAAAAAAAAAAAAATTGGTGGAATTTTTTCATGCCCGGGGTACCCCGGGCGAGGTACCTACCCATGCGAGGCACCCAGCCGGGCACGCCCGGCCGAGCACCACGGGAAAGCTAGATGAGCAGGGTATTCCATGACTACTTGGATAAAGTTTATTGTCGTGTACCTCGGCGATATTCTTATCTTTAGTAAGACTGTCGAGGAGCATGCGCAACACTTAGATCTTGTGCTAGGCCTCCTTAGACAGCACAAGTATAAGACCAATCAGGAGAAATGCGAGTTCGGGTGCACTAAAATCTTGTACTTGGGTCATGAGGTATCCACGGATGGGGTTAGACCCAAAGATGCGAAGGTGGCTGACATTCGTGACTGACCACAACTTCAGTCTGTAACAGAGGTCAGATCTTTCTTAGGGATGACCGGGCTACTACCGCAATTTTGTCAAGAATTATAGTACGGTGGCCGCCCCTTTGACTGATCTAATACGCCTTCACACACCATGGGAATGGACAGACGAATGTGAGGGAGCTTTTAAGCGATTGAAGTGCGCTCTAACCCATCCCAAGATTCTCATGCTCCCTGGTCCTGAGAAGCCGTTCATCGTGACCAGTGACGCAAGCCAATATGGCATTGGCGCAGTACTGGCTCAGCAGGAAGGGAAGAAGTTGAGGCCGATCGAGTATAGGAGTAAGAAGTTGCCGTCGAAGAAGTTGGCGAAGTCACACCTACGAAAGGGAACTCTACGCCCTTTATAAAGCTCTTGTCGACTGGAGGCATTATCTGTTGGGTAGGTTCTTCTACTTGAGAACTGATCATCAGACACTCAAGTGGATCAAGATGCAGCCTGTTTTCTCTGATGCACTCAAACGCTGGATTGTACTCATAGATCAGTATGACTTCAAGCTAGACTACACGAAGGGAGAGTACAACAAGGTTGCTGATGCGCTGTCGCTGAGGGCAGACTACCTACGTGTGCTGATTACTGAGTTTGGCTTATCTGACAATATAACTCAATCTTTTGTGGATGCCTATTACTGAGTTTGGCTTATCTGACAATATAACTCAATCTTTTGTGGATGCCTACAAGGAAGATATCGTCGTGATGGACATCATACGCAGACTAGAGGCCAAAGACAAGGCCACATCTGATGAGCTTGTGATGGTGGATGGGTTACTCTTTCTTGAAAACGCAGGGTTTGAAAGACTGTGTGCCGTCTAGTGAGTTTCTGCATAATTTATTTTTAGGACAGGGCACTTCGGCTATAAGAAGACCAGTGCTAACTTAGTGCAGCAATTCTGGAGGCCGATGTGAAGAGGTACGTCCAGACTTGCCAAGTCTGTCAGCGGTATAAGCCGCTAACTCAAGCACCACTTGGGTTACTCAAGCCCTTGCCCATTCTTGCAGGTGCGGGACAGAGTGTCTCAATTGACTTCATGGATACCCTTGTGACGAGCAAGAGTGGCAAGTGACACATCTTCGTCATAGTACACAGGTTTACTAAGTACGCTAGACTAATCGCCATGCCAGAGACTGCGAGGATCGGACACGTCATCAAGTTATTTATGGATAACTGGGTGTGTGACTTTGGACTGCCCAAGTCCATAGTTAGTGACAGAGATGTCCGGTTCACAAGTGGAATGTGGAAGAAGGCTGCTGAACAAATGGGCAGCCAACTCCAAATGACTTTGGGGGATCATCCCGAAGCCAACGGCCAAGCAGAGCAGATGAACCGCATGTGCAGCATCTGCTGAGGCACTATATTAAGCCCAGCTAGGATGACTGGGATGAAAAATTGCCTCTCATCGCTAGTTCGTACAACAATGCTGTTCACAGCACCTGTGACGAGC